TCCCCCCTCCCAATCTCTTTGTGCCCCCCCGGCCCACTCGCTGGTGGGGTGGGGAGCAGAAAAGGCCTCGACTCTGCGTAAGCACCGCTCAGCAGTAACTGAAACATCCCTGTGTTATCAACACTGTTTCCAGCCCAGATCCAAAACACAGCCCCACAGCAGCTACTGTGAAGAAAATTAACTCTACCCCAGCGCAAACCAGCCCATAAGCTAAGTTAGAGTGGATGTGTTAAGTACACAACACAAAGTGAGATGAGGAAAAGAAGAAGGAAGAAGCATCTAAAGAAATGCTTGAAGGCCCATCCCAGTACTACTAGACTACACACATCCTATTAGCCTCAGGAATATGAGGACATCGTGAGCAACTTATCATTCATTGCTCCATAGGGAAGAAGAGATGAAACGTTTTTACTCTGAACTAAAGGTGAAAAGCATTCAAATTCCATAAGAAACTGCTAGGCTATATAATGAGAAGATTTGAAGCTACTTAGAGGAAACGGCATCAGAGAAGGATGTTCATCACCCTGGGCAGGCCACACAAATTAAGAGAAAGTAGAGCTGTGAATTACAATGAACAGAGACTAAATAGCTGCCTGTGTTGGATTAAAGGATTTAAATTGTCAGCTTGATGTATAATGAATGTGAAAACCCAGCACTTAATTAAGTGGCACATGATAGAATAACTTTGTTATGCTTTAAACTGCTTAAGTTATCAAAGTATTCCTTATATTTAGCAATTGTTTAGCAGTATCTCTCTCCCTTGCGAAATCCATTAAGACATTGTTCATTTACCCTGGGTTCAGCTATGGCGAAGTACAGAACTTTTCGTTTACCTATTTTTGTTCTGTAATCCAAGTTTTCAATTGTGGCCAGTGAATTTCCAGCAATGCAAAGTCCCTGAATGCTGCTGAGACACAGTCATGGGCTACCAGGAGCTCTAAGGATCCCGCTGTAAGCACTCTGCCACCGAACTGAGTAGACACTGGGGACGGATAGTTCTTCCCAAATCACAGAGCAGCTCCCTGCTCACTTCCCCTAAAACAACTATCAGGTCTTGAGCCGTGTCTGCTCACGTGTGAAGGGTCCCAGCACAGGGACGAGAGCAGCTTGGCCCCAGGCAGCCTTTGTCAGGCCTGGCTTGCACCAAATAAAAACTTCAGCCTCCTCCTTATCTGCCTTAAGGAGTACATCTGCCACAGGGAAAGACGGAAAATGTGTTCTGCCGTTGCATTTTGATAACAGGAACTGGCTTGATTTTTCAACCTGGGAAGCAAATCTAATTGAGTTACTTCATAGAGAATGAGGACAGTTAGAACGGAAATTACACAGGAGAATCAGCAGAGGCAGCAGACGCGGGATCACCGCAAGGGCTAGGACAGCGCTTCTGAATCCCTTTTTAAAGGAATCATATAGCACAGGAGAACGTAAAGGCTAAATAAAGGCGATTAAGGACTGCTCCATCCTACAAGGGTTGATCCAAAGAAACACAACCACACAGTTCTCCAGCAAATTCTTAATTTTTTTTTTCTCTTATCCTATTCAATTCATCACATCCTTTTACATTTCTTGAGCCCCGGGCAACTCAGGTGTTGGTCATTCAAAAGGGAGGTGTCCTCAACCCCGGTGTCCTTGTGCACACAAGACAGCCAGGAGGAGCAGGAGGTAGGAAAGACTTTCCCTTTTAGACAGACACAACGAGGACACGGATCCCGGAGATGACTCACTGTCCCAAGGGGACACGTGCACTCAAACCAGAGATGCGTTACACACACAATCAAAAACTGAAAGACAAAAAAGTACTTACAGCTACTGCTATTCTTCCAAGCACGTGTTCGGGGATTTTTCTATAAACATCCAAAGAACCCCCTGCAGGGACAAACAAAATGTGTTTAGGTAATACAAAATGAAATACTGCCCTAGATTTGAAGTCACAAGGGTTTTCTAGGCCTTGGTTATTAATAAGAATGCCATCAATGATATAATGATAACTGTGTCAGAAATAACTGACCTTAAAAATCTAACAAACTTGGAATAAACACACGAAGCAGTACTCAGGTCTCTCTTCACCCACGTTACTTATTTCTGCTTGCAGCATTAATACTCAAACTCCTTTTAGAAAACCTCCCAGTCACGGGACAGATTATCGAAACTGGAGAACTCACAACCACCAGGCTTGGAGCAATTCCTCTGGAATAACAAAGTCCAAGGCATCCTAACCCTTGTCCCCAAAACCTGGCGCGAGCATCACAGGGTATCTGACATTATGCTTAAAGCTGTTTCCTCCTGATGATCAAACCAGTGAGAGTTTGGGTAAGAGTGGCACTCTGTGTTCACACCAGTGTCTGAAAATGAAAGACAAGGAGCTCCTGGGAAGCGAGAAATCTAATTCCCCTAATTCCCAAGGGACTGGGAAGGATTGTTCCCTTATCTTCCACATAGAAGATTCATGGCCAAACCAGTATTCAAAATGGCCGTGGGGTGAAACACAAATCCTTGGGCAAGAAAGCAAATTTAAAATTAAGAAATAAAAATATCCATGCAGTATAGCCAAAAAAAAAAAAAAGGACAAGCAAATTACAGGCAGAGCACTATCACTCTGAGCTTGCATGAGCCTTAGTCAAGGCTTGAGGTTCTCAGACGCGCTCAACACCGATCTAACTGCTCTCAGTGTAGGATATGGATTTTACTGATGACACCACTGGGAAAAGAGTTAGCCCAACACTCAGCAATTACGGAAACTACACCTTGGACTTTGCTTATGGTTCAGTTTTCTAAAGTAAAACCCATTCATTCTGAAATGCTACAATCCAAAGAAGTCACAAGGTCCTTATTTCAGCCTTAATTATACAATAGCTCTTCTTTATACTACATTTCTTATTCTAATGAGTGGGGTTTGGTGGTGGTGGTCGTTATCCCTGGATTCTCATCGTGTCTAGTGTCAGAAACACAGGATGAGTTTGCCTTTGCTAACATTGCTTTGATTCCAGACATTTGAAACTACCCCTTCATTAAGTTTAATCTTTCAACTTCTATAGTTCACATTGCATGTGGATTATAATCAACCTCAGTTTTAAAAGTAAACCCACTATTTAAAAAAAACCCTATATTCATATGCCACACTGCTAATTCTTGCTATTAAAAATGTCACTAAAGGTTGGGCTGTTTGAAAAATGAAGGAAAGTATCGTTTTGCAAACAATCAGGGAAATTTGCCATTTTTCTATGGGGAAAAGAAAATTCTGCGGCGGACAACGTTTCCAAACCCAAATATATAAGGTCAGCTCCCACATCTATGTGCAGACACCCAGGTACAGCCTGATAACCTGCACTTCTCGCTGCTTTTAAGGGAAGTTTAATGGGGTGTTCAGCGGTTCAAGGCAAAGCAGCAACAACATAAGTGAAATGCAATAGTGCATCTCACCATCTTTATTTACGAGAACATGGTCTTTAGTGTAAATATAAACGTGGAAAGAATAGAAAGCCCCATTTCACATCTCTGTTGCTCTTTAAGATCAACTGGCCGGTGTGAGGGTGATGCAGGTCAATTCAACCTCCGTGGGTTGATATTTGCAGAGCTGGAGTTACTTGGCTTTCTCCTGCCTGCCGGTGCCTGGAAAGAGCCAATATGGTTCTTTCTGTATGTGCACCTTCTCCTTGAGTCATGACTATCCCAGAAGATGCGGATCCACCTGTATCTAGGTAATTCATACGGGAAACACCTATGTTTTGGAATATGGTACAGGATAAAACCGGGCAGAGTCATGGGATATGGATTCAGGAAATACCACAAACTGGCCTGAGACAGTCAAAAGGGCTAAAAATCTGTCAAGGTTAAAGCTGTTCATCTGCAGGATAAGAAATTATTTTTTCTTGTCTTTACCTGCATCCTTACGCATCAAAATTAAAGGTCTGGAGGGGAAAAAAAAAAAGGCAAGGTCCCTTTATTTGCATTTTGTTCTTCCTTTAAACGATCGCTGTTGCTTTCTGCCAGAAGGAGCGCACACCATGAGGCAGAGCAGAGGTCAGCTCCAGTATAATTCCAAGTAATTTGTGCATGGTCAGTAAACAGCACGGTTGTGCAACAGCATGAGGGATGCATACCCTAAAGGCTTAAATATTTTCGGACAGGAATTCAGACCTGCGAGCATTTATGGCCGTCATTTTTTAAAGTATCTCTGAGTTAGTAGGGGCACGCATACTCCAGGCAGATGCGTGTTTCGGCGTGAGCAGATGCTTCCTTACTGCATGTGACTGCTGCTTAACACGGGCTTGCAAGTCTTGAGTGCAACTGCAAGGACAGAGCAGAGAAATGGCTAATGGCCACACAGCGTGGGAACAGTGAAGAACGTAACTTGTGGCCTTGGTTCAATAAATATAATAGTTTTCATCAAATACAGAAAATCTGAAAGAATACTCATGCTCAGAAATGGGGCACAATGATCACTGGGCAGAGGTAGTAAGTGCAAAAAGAGAGAAATAACAGTAATAACAGACCATTTTAACAGGGAGAAAACAAAATGCACCATAAAACCCTGAAGGGCTTTATCCGCGGTCCCCATCAGAAAGAAAGAAGCTACTCAACGATGCTTAATGGTATACGTTTGGCTTTGGAAATTTTTCCTGCCAGAAAGCCTTCCCTCCACAGCAAATTATTTGCGAGATCCTCACTTCTTTATATCCAGCTTAACTGAACCATTGTCAAAAACCGGGATAGGGCATAAAATGCTGGCTCATGAGAGAAGAGACTGTTGTGTGTAACAACAACGTGATGTTAGAAGTTGAGCGCTGCGAAGGGGGTTCTTGTGCACAAGACACGAGGGGACTGCATCTGTTGTGAGACCCTCAGAATTGACACACAGAGGGCAGCAATGATTATGAATTCGTGTAACCAGTACACTTCTGCCTTTTCTTCAAGAACGCCACGCCGCACAAGATTTCAAAGCCAAGCACTAGTACATCCCCATAATGACAGCGGCATCGGATGGTGGGGAGGGGGATACCGGTGGTCTGAAGATACGTACTGGGAGAAACAAGAGTACACTCAAAAAGGAACTCAACGCAGCAGCGCTAAACAGCTGCGTTAGGAAATAATTCCTTCTCTTGCAATTAAGAGACGATTTCCACTGAAAGCACATAGGACATTGGGTTAATAGATTTCTTTAAAAGAAAATCTGTTTTGGCTATCAAAACAGTAAAAGTGAGGAACAGCTGTTTTGTCAGCGAGGACAGATTGTATGGAAGACTCCAATATCAAACCACAAATTAAGCTAGCAGTTATTTCTGTTCTATTTACATTTTCAATAAAAGTAAGCAACATTACATTTGGGAAAATACAGCATACCATGGAGAAGAGAACACAATCCCAGCACTAGCCTGTGGTTTTTAAAAAAACTACCTGCAAAGTAATTAATACTTTACATTTTCAGATCACACTACTGCATTTTGCTCCATTCTGGAAAAGCACATCTTTAGACGATTTTCCCATTACACACTTAGCAATCAAAAGGCGCTAGATGCACAACTCACCATCCATGAACTCTGTACACAATGAAATTCTGTTTTCTACAAAAAAAGCACCATAAAATCCTATGATATATGATGAGTCACACTGGAAAAAGAAAGGAGAAAGAGAAGCCTTGTTTAAAATTTGCTGTAAGAAGATTGTAAGGCAGAACAATGAAAATGAGAAAATCTATATACCTTATAAAGAATTTCTAACTCCGACATTATCTGCTTCTGGAGTTCCAGTGTTATATCTAAGGGTATGACCTAAAACACAAAAAGCAGACATGTGATTAGAAAAAGCGAGTGACTCAAAATAAGACCCAGACGACCGGGAAGGCCGTGAGGCCGGCAGGCCCTGCTGAATGTGCCGATGTAAGCGCTAAGGGCTGAACCCGTACCGCAGTACCGCGTAAGCACCGCCAAAGCATTCCTCAAAACAACTACAGAACGACCTGACTAGTGCTCAGCCACTCGCTGGGATGCTCCTCCGCTGCTTCCTTCATCCACACCTCGTCGCCCATCATTCTGAGCCAGGCTGCTAACCGGGACTAAGGTACCAAGTGCAGTGGTGAAGGTGGGGTGCGCTGTCTGGAGTTCTAAGTATTGTGAATTTTCAACACAGACCCTCTTGGCAAGGACATTGGTTCCGACAGAACCAGCACTGAAAGTCAGCTTTAACAAACGGGTCTTTGCCATGATTGTTCAAAGACCTGCACACCCCATTATTACATACAACAACACAAACCTAAATGGACCCCAAACGCGTTCAGCCAGGTTCAATTGTCCACCACGCAGTATTTCACAGTCTAACACTTTAAGCTGAAGGGAAACAAAATCTAGCCAATTTGCAGAATAGATATTTAGGCTGCATATACTGCTGACGAACCAAAATATGGAGAGACCGTTTCCAAACACGTGCATTTTACAGTATCAAAATCTGTCTAGGAGAAAAACACGATGACCTGTTACTATGAAGAGTTTGCTTTAGGGTTATTTATAAAAGCTGTCACTAAACTAAATTGTAAGCGTAATACAGGGCTGCCAAGAAACGTTTAACACACTTGTCTAGATCAATAATCATTTGCCAACAATATTCACTTACATTTTTCCAATGTGAAAAACTTAAAATAATTTGCTGGAATACCATCCGTTTTTTCCCATTGAGTATTAACAGAATTTAATCTTGTCAACAGCCTAAAATTAAATTTTATCATACTAAATTCTATGCAGAGTGAGAAATTTCCCTGCCTCGTTCACCGTGAAGGCTTCAGCGACCTGAACAATGACTAGTTAGCATGATCAGCGTCAAATATATCGTTGACATCCAATCAACCAGGACCTGGCATGAAGAAAGGTCTCTGGCTGATTTGCATGAACTATAATTACATACAGACCCTGCATTCTAATAGTGAGGATCACCTGGAAAAGCAGAGCTTCCCTGTTTTCAAGTGTTCAGGATACTATGGAGTAGTACACAGTTCTTCCCGAACTGCTCCGGCATGTCTCCCTATGGGGTGCCGTCCTTCAGGAGCCCCCTGCTCCAGCCTGCGTCCCCCTGGGGTCACCAGTCCTGCAGCAAACCTGCTCCAGCCTGGGCTCCTCTCTCCACGGGCCACAGCTCCTGCCAGGAGCCTGCTCCAGCACGGGCTGCCCAGGGGGGCACAGCCTCCTTCAGGCATCCCCCTGCCCCAGCATGGGGTCCTCCTGGGCTGCAGGTGGGTCTCTGCTCCTCTGCGACCCTCCTCCGTGTCGGCAGGCCACAGCCGTCCTCACCATGGGCTGCACCACGGGCTGCCGGGGAACCTCTGGAGCACCTCCTGCCCTCCTTCTCCACTGCCCGGGGGGTCTGCAGGGTTGTTGCTTTCACAATGCTCTCACTTCTCCAGCTCCAATTGCTCTTCCCAGATTTTAATACGTTATCCAAGCAGCGCTATCACCATGGCTGATGGGCTCTGTCTCGGCCAACAGTGGGTCCGTCTTGGAGCCAGGTGGCATTGGCTCTATCCGACGCAGGGGAAGCTTCAGGCAGCTTCTCACAGAAGCCACCCCTGCAGCCCCCCCTGCTACCAAAACCTTGCCACGCCAACAGGGCAGAAAGAGGACAAAGGTATCTATACAGCACCACTTTCATCTACTTTTGTGATCCCCCGAGTAATAATTGTAGAAAATTTCCAAGCCTATTTAGAAAATGAAATCGGTACGGGTGAAACAAGTTGTCGGAACACATTGAGCTGACGGTGTTCCACGTGGGCTGGAACAACAAACCCCACAACCTCCTCAGACCCACTGCTGCCAAGGAAGAAGCTGTGAATAAGGATTTGGCTGCAACTTCCACAGCTGTAGCACGGGTAAGCAAGTGAGACGTAACGTCGGACAACAAACTTTTCCAACACGGCACCTTTGGAACGAGCACGCTTGTAACGCGCGTGAACGCCACATACCCAACGTCTGAAGCGAAAAGGGTTAATTTTAAAAAGAGGAATACCTGAGCATATTTCCCCTGCTCTCCACTACACCTCCAGGACAAATAAGGATGAGTTGTCAAGTTAAATACAAGCAGTCAAGTGACTGAATTATAATTTACTCTGTGCTCAATTTAAATTAGTGTGAGGCTATTAAAATATACAGTATAAATACGGCAATTCATCACAAGCTGTCATGGATGACTTCATCTATTTGCTGGAGTGGCATACGTTCCACTAAAGGGAACGAGAGCAAAATCACAGGTCAAATTAAGCTGCTATTCTGTTTTAATTCACTTATTTAATCTGTGGCGACATAATTGTCTTTTACAGTATGTACAACTCAAAGGAAATTTGGGAGTATTATAGTCAGTATACAAATGATTAATCAAATGGTCCATTTAAATGCTAGCTTAAGAGCAGGAGAAACGGAAAGCAGGTTAAGAATGGCAACCAGGCAGCGTACGCTCAAATTTTTCCTTTGGATTTTTCCCTCTAATTAGAAAAAAGTTCCCTTAGAAAAATCTATTACATCCTGCTCAGAGTATCTAGCTGCAAAGTTTACATAAAATATGTAAGGACACGGACAGCTTTGGTCTGCGATACAGGCATTAGCGTTGGTTTGTTTTCCTGTTCAATACATGATTAACTACCAGCTGAAAGCGCTTTAATCGACAGGTTTTCAGAACGTTATCTGGTCCGACCAAACCTCTATATTGTGGTCAAAACAAGCCCGCAGAAAGGCAGGGCTCTGCTTTCACAGGTCCATCCAGCAATGTCCCTTTTAGGGTGGTAATCCTCTGTCCCAACACTGGAGCCTTGTGACCATCGTGGCAGGGCGCTGGCGTCACCACCCACCTTTTACTGCCGCCTGTGCCGGGCCATAGGTGTGTCAAGTGACTTATTCAACAGGGTGAGGTGCCACCATCACTGTCATAGCAGGTTTCCTGACCTCCAGTTTGCACGCGTGTTACTCTACGATAACACCCGCGCGTCGATGCAACTCACGCTAAAAAAATACAATGGAGAGTGACAGGGCCACCATGAGTGGTATCTACACGAAAACCCAGTTTCCCAAATCTTCAGGATGCTAATTATCCACCAGGACTAACCAAACCCTTGGACACTACAGGAAACAAGGAGGTGAAATTGCTGGGGGAAAAGGCTTTTTGCCACGGGAAGGTGATTTCAATTAACCTTGCAAAGGGTGAACTCATTTCCCCTCCTGCCTGTTCAATTTTTCTCTTGCTCCAGCTCCTCTGCAGGCAGGTTCTGAGGGCACCCACAGCAGCGGCTGGCACGGAAGATGATGCTGAGAATCCTCAAACATTATTTGAGGAAGCGATGTAGGTCCCATGGAAGAGCAGCATCTTCACACAACCCCAGGATTTAGGGGAAGAGCTTTTTTAGTTCCATCTTGAAAATTGGAATAAAAAGTATTTTCGATTATTAAATTTTCTGCACTTTTGTGTCCATTACGACTCCGAGAATTCCTGTCTTAGGCTAACTGCTCATAGCAGCTTTAGGGATGACGGATACCACTTGAAAGGACTTTCTCAAAGTGACTTTTTGGAAAGCTTTTCCAACCGCTATTTGTATTCCACGCAACTAGAGGTTATTTGGACGTTATTTCCATTTCCGTATTTTCCACGAGGAGAGAACCGCTGCAAATCCAGCGGTGAGCCTCTGCTTTTCTCCTAGTGGGGTGAAGGGATTTATTTATGTGAACCTCAGGAAGGCCAAAACACAGGCAGAGTCTCCTTCTAGTAAGTGGTATCTGACTGGAACCACAAGACAATCTGAGCCCAAATCCGAGTTACCCAGATACGTACATACTTCTTGGTAAATACAAATGCTTCATTTGAAGTCTTAACATAATCTCACATCTTTAAATTCCATTTAACACCAGTTCTGCTTGCAGCAACCAGCTCCCATCACTCTCTCTCTTGCCCTTCTCTCCCCACTCCACCTTCTTTCAGTTTAACTCAGTTTCACCAGTATTTAATGATTAAAGACATCGGGGGGAAAAAAGAAATGAGCCAAGAAGCCCATCTCACAGTTTTCTAAGTACCTGTTCCACAAATTGTATTTTTTAAATATACTTTTTAGATCCCAAACTGTTCACTGGAATTGTATGACTGCAACAATTAATTTCTTTTCCAAGTGTCTCTACTGCTTTAACAAAATAGTCAAAATAAAGAGTTTGATAAATGAGAAAATTACTTATTTCAATGTTTTTCTATAGATTAACTGTGTTAATTTAATTTACTAATTTAATATGTTAAATACACCAGTTGTCTTACTGTTGTCCGAGCTGTGCTACTGGTTTACTCCAGCTTTAAGTGAACTCGCAGGCAAGACTGGTATTTATCTGACCACGCAACCCTACAGCTCACTGGGAATTACTGAATTTATGGACTGGAGTTTCCCTGCATAAACAATGTGGACTTTAATGCAGTAAAACAAACTGAGGTCTAACAATCAGAGGGAGGGGAAGGAAAGCAAGGTCAAGAAAAAAATGGAGAGAAAGAAAGAAAGAGAGGAAGAAAATTACGGTAATATCTTACCTTTACTGCGAGTATTTTTCCACTAGGGACGTGATGTGCCCTGCGTGAGGGGAAAAATTAAATACCTTGAGATGACATAAAATTACCTTTCTACATACGTGCAACATGCAGACACTCATTTCCCAGCAAAATGACTTGGAGCTAACACGTTCTACGCTAAACCAACTGTATACGGCATTTCTGCAGACAGCCTGATGAAAACAATCGATCAGGAGAGTATCGTCACAACGGAACCAATTAAGCAGGTTTTTACATCTGCATGTTTTACATCAAACCTACACACTGAAGGCTGTTGTGCAGCGTAACAGCAACCTTACAACTATAAATGCATCCGCTTTCACACGTTCTGTTAATGCAACGAAGGTATGATATAGCCATTCTTCAGGATCTTCAGGTAAAACAAGGTTTATCACACATTTGCCAATCCTGTGGGTATTTTTGGTAATCAGGCAGCAAGATACAGAGCTGTATCAATTAAAGTGAAGTAAAGCAGGTAGTGACGGGTATGCTTTATCGGATCCTAAGGGCCCTCAGAAAATATTGGTGAAATGAACGTTCTGCATTTGTGTTTAAGATGAGCATGTGTGTGCACATGTGAGGTAAGAAAGCATCGGAACGCTCACATGTACCCAAAATAGTTTTCCCAAATATTCCAAGAGCTGTTTGTCTTAATTTCTGAGGATATTTATAACTAGCTATTTAATGATGACTCGTGCATTCCTAACCATGAACTCGTAAGAAAAGGCAGGGGGGGGAAAAAAAGGTCTACTAAAAATCATATGTAATTTTGCATAAACCCAAAACCATTAAAGGTTTTCCTTTTCACTAGTTTTACTGTCTTATAATGATTTACGATAGTATGCACAGTATGTCATAGATGTGGCATTCACTTTAAAGAATTATAATATTTAACCACTCTATACCTTTAGCAATTATTACTGAAGAAGAAAAGCTTTAATAGTTGGGGTTTTTTGCATGCAAAATCACATGTAGCACAGGGCGAGACTGTTGTTTCGCCTTGTTTATAACCCTGCGCGCTCGTATAATTTCTGTAAATGGCTTGGAAGTTTCTTGTTAATTTAATAACCCACAGATGAAGATTCCTGTAAGCAAGCGGCGTTACTTTCTAGGAGCAAGCAGAATTTAAAAAGGCGCACCAAAAATCAGTGCTGGCTAATATCAGTGCAACACGAATGCATAACCAAGGAATCCGACGGAGGAAATGAACTCTGCTGTAACTAGGGATGAATCAACAGTGGCAAAACATTATGGACTTAAGATGGGCAGAAATGATAAGAAAATGAACAGGTTGAGATAGCATGCTTAGCGTCTGTTAGCTTAATATGTGCTGTGCCGGGCAGTTTGGCAACTTAATTAGCTTGTCAAGAAAGCTGATCTTTTTTCCATAAGAGAGATCTCCTGTTTCCAAGTGAATTAAAAGGGAAGACTTGATTATTTAATTATGATGCACGCTAATTCATCCGTGGAAGTTTGGGTTAAGTTTCCAGCAGAGGGCAGATACCTGGTTTGGTTTACAGAGCACTGACAGTACCAATTTAACATTTAATTATCGCTGAGAATTGGATCACAAAGGAGATACCATGCCCATGGGTACAGCGTGTCCAGTGCCTCTGCAAATGGCATGCTACCTGGGAGGAAAGGAATTTGTTTACTCCAGGCTGATCCGGCATCTCCATTGTCCTGGCCCTTCCTCCACACAATAACCGTAAAGTGATTAATGAAGTTTGAATAGGAGCTTTGGTTACACCAAAAGACAACCGTACACCTCTGTAGTGTTTTAATTAACAGCTAACACTTCAAATTAGTCTGTAGTTGCTACAGTAATTACCCGTTTTTTTTGGGAAAACGTTTTTGTTAGATATTATGTAGAACTAAGTTGGAATTGATCATTTTGGTTGCAGTCAGCACAGCTAAAGCCTGAAGATTTAGTACCTTTATGTAGCTTCAGAAGGATGCACTTAAAAAAAAAAAACCCAACCATGGAATAATGTGCACAGCATGAAGAAAAACATACTTCTTGTGCCTACTGCACCCATCAGTAAGCCTACGGATTTCTAGGAGGAGATTAAATTAATATTCATACTCTAAGTAATGCAAAGCCTCATCTCAAGGGTCAACTCTCACCGATCCCAGTGTCACCTCCAAAAGGAAGTAAACAAACCCATCATCGTAGAACCAGATCATTAGGGGAAGCAAAGCTGCAAAACGCTGCGGTTTTCAGCGAACACGCTTAAAAATCTTCCAGGATGGCTGGCAAACGATGTCACCTAATGAACAGCTACAGCAGCAGCTCCTCTGCTAGGAACGCACTTCAGCGGTGCCTAACAGTAAAGACAAGCAAGGGGAGTGAAAACAGTTGCTAAATAGCTGCTGAACTACTTAAAGACAAATGTGAAGAGCAGAAATGAAAAGCATTGAAATGCAAAATATTCCAGGAAAACCCTGTTTTGACATTGGCAGAATTTCATGCCTTGCAGAAACCAGCTCAGGGAAAACAAAGTCCTTTTTCTGCTCTTTTTCGTTGGGGTTTGGTTTGCTCTTGACCCGCTGCAAAAGCTGTAACAGACGACTGAGAATCGGTGGCTATACATCATTCATTGCTAGGAGAGAGCGAAGGGACAGTGCGTACCAATCTCTGCAGCCCCAAGTTTTAAAAAGTTACTGGGACAACAAATTAAGAATATATTCTTATGCAGGGCCTGATCCAGATCCCGCCCAGGTTCGTTGAAAAACTGCATCTACCACAAACCTGACGTTTTCTTATTTTAAATGCAAACGACTGGAAATGCTATGAGATTAATGACCATTTTAGTAACAACTTTCTCCACCACCAGAATACTTTTTAGGCTTATAGTGAAAAGTATTAACACAATATTTTAATAAATCTGTAGGAAAATAAACACAACAGCAATCAGCAATTCATTTGGTGCCCAATTTCTACACATGAATAGACTGTAATACCAGAATCCTGCACCCAACTAATTTTTTATTGCATTTTAAAATAGACAGTTGTTAGCTACTGAAGCCACAGCATTTTTAGGCTGAGGATAATGATTAAAGTCATTATAAAAACAAAAAGAAAAGAAAAAAGCAGAGTTCAGAAATCCATTTTGGGGTACCAATCTTTCAGGATGATGCATTCTTTTGAAATTCACCACAGCTTGACTTAAAATAGTTGCCGTGTGCCTGTAAGATGACAAAATTGTACAAAAAGTGGTAGGTATGAAGCTGATCTCCGGTGACATCTTCAAAGGGAACGGTAAAGGCTAGTGGTTGAAAATGGCATCTTGGTCTCGGAATATATCCAGGTTACACGGAAATAATTGGTATTAGTTTTCCTCAGAAAATGAAAATTCTTCATGCAAGCAAACTGTTCTTTCTTGATGCTGAGACCTATATTTTAGTTCCTATGCCCAATTCAGGTGTGGGACAAACTCTGCTCTCGACTGAGGAACCAATTTGGTAATCACCAGATGAGGAGACAGGTGACGAACAAGACGTAGGAAGAAGTGCACCCTCAGTATTAGCGGTACCTGGGGCAGGGACCAAGTTAAGAGACTGCTGCTGAATTAAAACTAAGTTTTAACAACTCAGACTGATAATCCTCTCAACAAGACTTTTACAGATTTCACAAAAGAAGGAAGAAATCCTCAGGGAGGATGGAGAAAAGGAAGCACCAACTTGCAGACCTCCTCTGAACAACCATATTCCAGCAACAGAAGCTCCAAGAAAGCTGGAAGCTAGACAGGGAGAAGGTGCATTCTGGGGGCTCCCTTCCTGCCCAAGCACACCGGGATAACGCGAGACGGGGGCGCAGCTGACACCTCCCTTTGGGAAGTTGTAGTGAACACGCAGGGCACGCCATGCAGAGAGGTGGGCTTAACGCTGCCGCACGCCGGGTAAGAAAAGGAGAGGCAGACTTCACCCACCGCGCGTTCCCAAACATTCCCACCGGGAAGAAGAAATTTAAACCTCTGCCTTCACATTCCCACTAGAATTCGTCATCCCAAGCCCCCTGCACCCCCTACAGTGAACAGTTCTAAGCAAGATCTGCACAGTTGTGTCAAATATTTTATTAACCTTGACTATTAACCATATCCCTAGACATTTAAAACCCTGGAGGGACCACGCGAGCCAAGTCCTTTAGCATAATTTTGCCTCCCCTCCTCTGAAAATCCAGTGTCCCCCTGGGAGCACTGCCCAAGGCAGCTCGCCCAGCTCCGCGGAAAAGCTGGGTTATTCTGGGGAGTAAGAAAGACGGTGTGAGCAAGCGTGTGAGCAAGCGTGCGCTGCTCGAACAAAGCCTCCAGCTAAGCCGGAAAAACTTCCGGTGGGCTGCGGAGTAGGGTGTGTGCATCCCCGGTGTTGCAGAAAATAAAAATCGATACCATGGAAAACTAGAATAGGGCTTTGGGGGAACTGGCAAGCATCTCTCCCCCCATATTTAAGTGTTTCTACAGGAAAGCAAATTAAAAAAGGAAAGCGTCGGAAGCAGCTGGTTTCTGGTTTAAAAAGACAAGGGAAAAAATAAAGGCAGCTGGATTTCGCACTGCCTGCTGTGTTCTTCCTGAGGTCTGCTGCAAAGAAAACCAGAGGAGAAAGTGATTTGGCTCAAGCCTCTTTATGGAATAAACCATGGCCCATCCTAATGTTTAATGCTAACGACTTCACACAGAATACAGCGCGTTCCACAAGTAAAACAAACGAAACCAACTAAACAGAACGTGCACGAGCTTCTTAATGAATAGCTTAGGTGTCAAACAAACAAACAAACAGATCTCCCTCTTTCAACTTGCTAAGGCAACAATTTTCCATTCCTCTTGTGAGAAATTTTACCAGAAGTACAGAGGGGAGCCGCGTCACTTGCTGGGGTTTCTTCCAGGGGAAGTGAAGAACTAACTTCAGGTTTGAACATGCAGGCACTCAAGAGAAACAGCAGTTTTCAATTTGGTTTTAATTGTAATGCATTTGCCCACATACGAGTGACTCAAGGATGGTCACATCAGAAGCGCAGACTGA